GAATCCCTTGCATATAACCCTTCAATGTTACATGATTGACCAGACGATTAGGTCCATTAGAAAAGTCTCATGAGGCTGCAGATCGCGCAACCTTAATGGCTAAACATCACACGAATGTGAATGCGCAGTTATTAATGAACTGGCGTCTTGGTTGTTGTGTTACGAAAAGACTGATTGAACTGCCAGCAAGCGTTTTTCAGGTAATGCAGGAGTTGTTGATGAGCAGACGTTCAAGAAATTCTTCCTGGACGTGCCAGACGCGAAAGTAGGGCGAGTAGAGCTTTATTCTCATTTGTTGCCTCGCTCTAGGCATAAACATTCGTGACGATTCTTAGATTTACTCGGTGAAGGAGCTGGTGTTTCAGCTGCAGCAGATCAGATCGATTCTGACAGACGTCAACGCCGACTGGGATAAACGCGCTGACGCGGTAAGCTTTTGCTAGTATTATGAACATTTTTTGTAGTCACCGAAGTGATGGTTTTGTTTTAAATTTAAACGGAGAGTTAGGTTGCACCAATGCTTCCATGGAGTGGGACTCATACCGGTCAGTAAACCCGCTATACGGTAGAGTTGCACCGTATATATTGTACTTAACTCTGCGATACGTGGATGCAAAGTAGCTTCTTGTGTCAGGTCGAGCAGTATTCATGTTCGTCGCAGAAACTGGGTACATTTTTAACTTGAATGAACTTAAAATCATGAAACTTGTACTTTTTTGATAACGTTGACATGGCAGCATTAAAGTCGTAGTTTTAATCGCGTTGAAAGAAAGCAAGCCGCAGAGCAGAAGTGCCAGTTTGCCTTTGGCAAGCCGACCTCGTCATTTGTTAATTAACATCTTCAGTGGAAGTGTGTGTTGTTTGTATCGTTACGTTTTAAGACAGAAACAAGGTGCTCTGAGGGACTCCTCTACCAGCGTTACGCTGACAGCAATCTTTTTAGATCGTTTTGCAGCTACATCATATAATCATTGTTTCCCAGTTCTAAGCCTTTGTTGTATTTCCTATAGAGACATTAATTCTGTTAATTTAGTGTTCGAGTATTTTAATTCACAGTATGCTAACTATCACCTCGAATGGATTTCACAGAAAGTATAATATTAACGTATTTAATAACCTACCTAGATTAGCCCCGGTATCATAGGTTTGCTAACAGTCATAGTTTGCAGCACCACCGTTAATATTAACAGTCATCTGTCACTTTTCGGGATTGTTTCTGGTAGCCTAGAGGACCAAGGCGTAAGCTGGTGCTATATTGCACCCGTACACTGCAAATATTCAAATGCCACTGAACCATGGCCTGCTTAACGGTTCATCTTGACAATTAGAGGTAATGGGGCAGTGCGACTGCGCTCTACAGATCTGGAGAAGTCACGGGAGATTAATGTACTAAGTTTTTGGGGTATTCTAAAGCGGGGTACTTTTCACAGCTCTTTTGCATATTCGGTTTGTAGAAAGCCACAACAATCACGTACATAAACTCTTCGTCTATTTGCGGTAATATATACACTGTTTAATGTGCTTGAATATTACACTATTAATCTTTCGACAGTATCGTACTTCGTTCCATCACCTTTCAGAAAAACGGATATCCATATATTCAGGTAGCTCCGTTTTCCTTCATTTCTTTTTTCCTGCCTCTGCTGTAATAACGCCGTCATCATTCCTTGCATTCTCGGTTTACCTTGAAAAATCCGCAGATATTTTTAATAAGTCTTAGCTGCCTGTGTCTGTTCATGGAGTCCTCGTTGCGATTCATAATGTTGGAAGAGTTTGATCACCGTCCTCGTATGCGAATTTCCAATGCCTTTTACTTCATTAATTACTTAGATGATAATTACATCGCCAAGACGTAAAAAATTCTAAAAGTATCAGTTTAGGGGGAATGAATTGATTAATGAACCTAGGAGAGTTACTCTGAACCACTTTTCGGAATACCCTAGTTTTGTTAAACATGCCTTTGAAAATGGGAACATTGGAAACAAGAGAAAAGTTTATAACCTTCGGAATGTCGGCCTTATACTTGCATGACAGCCATTTCTCGTGTTTTTTTTTGTGAAAGTAATTGTGGGGCGCTGATCTCGATTCCGCCGGAAATACCTTGTTTTAAAGGCAGACTCGACAGCATATGTATGGTACGCATAAGGTGTAGTCTCCTGTTTCTTTCCCACAGACTGGTACTCGTTCATCAGCCTTGGAACGACGAAAGCGAATGACCCAACTTGGCCCCATCCGGGGACGTTTCAGTTTAGAGTCTGACGCTCCACCGATTAGACAGCCCTGATCACTCATCATTAAAAATGACCGCAACCGACCAGACCAGGCCAGTGTCTCCGTGATCTATCGTCTTAAAAGCAGCGTGAAACCGTTGATTGAAAAGTACTGCATATTTCAGGGGAAAACGCTTGGAAGAGCTGTTGTTAGACATCGTAGAGGGCTTGAAGTTTTATTAATTGCCTTTTGCAATTTTACATTTGGCGTTCCCCATTCGGGTTGTTTGATTTCCTTATTTGCTCTGTTGAAGACGTGAAATGTTGTTTGACCGAAACGTTTGCAGTGAAGTATAATCAAAACTTAAGCATCGGTGTCATGTTTCTGCCTGTAGCCAGGAATAGTTAAATTTTTCTTGTTGAAGTTGCAGAAATACTTTCCATAATTTTGTCAAAATTGAGTGCACTTTATATGACCAGCTTGAGTGTTTTATGTGTTCCAAGTCATTTAATAGACGGAAAATGTTGTGAAGCCGTGTTGTCAACGACGATGTGCCAGAGAGAGACCGGTTGGATTTATCATAGCTAGTATCATCTCAGCACATCTTTCATGGTAATAATAGCTATTTTCATTCTGAAACCGCTGATAAGGCATCATATCATGACCACGTTATGTTGTAATTATTGTTAATGAACTTTGGTTTAT